ATAAATAGGTATTATTGCTAGGTTCTAATTTATAGGAAAGGATATCTGACTTTCTGTTTTTACTCCCAACAAATCAGCTTCAAATCTGCCTTAATTACTTTAGAATCTTCAACACTCCCCCTCAAGTTGGATGGAAGAAATCTTTCATTCCCAGCTTGTCCAAGGTTTTTTTGAACATAGGATTCTGAACACCTTTAGTAAGTATATCAGCAAGTTGTTCCCTGGTAGGCACATAGGGAGTGCATATCAATCCACTCTCTAACTTTTCTTTGATGAAATGTCTGTCTATCTCCACATGTTTAGTTCTATCATGTTGTACTGGATTGTGTGCTATTGCAATGACAGACTTATTATCACAGTACAACTTCATTGGTTCATCCCACTTGATTCTTAAATCTTCTATGATAATCTTCATCCATAGCAACTCACAAATTCCAAGGGCCATTAATCTGAATTTTGCTTCTGCACTTGATCTTGACACAACACTTTGTTTTTTGCTTCTCCATGTCACAAGATTTCCTCCTAGAAGAGTACAATATCCTGATGTTGATCTTCTATCTGTTAATACACCAGCATAGTCTGCATCTGTATAACATTCAAGGTTCAGATTCCCATGATTTTTATACAAAATTCCTTTTCCAGGAGTAGACTTCAAGTATCTGAGGAGTCTATACACTGCCTGGAGATGTGAATCTTTCGGGTTGTGCATAAATTGACTCACCACACTCACGGCATAAGCAATGTCTGGACGAGTGTGAGCTAAGTAGATCAATTTACCAACTAACCTTTGGTATTGACCCTTGTCAGTTGTAGCTCCTTCCTCATCATTCTCAAGTCTGTGCTTTAGATCAATAGGTGTTTCACATGGTCTGCAGTCAACCATTCTCGTTTCCTTTAAAAGGTCAAGAATATACTTCTGTTGAGAGATAAAAATCCCTTTTTCTGAATGTGCCACTTCTATGCCAATAAAGTATTTCAACTTCCCCAATTCCTTGATTTCAAATTCTGTTGAAAGTCTCTTTCTCAACTTATCTCTTTCCACAAAGTCATCACCTGTTATTATAATGTCATCAATATAAACAATCAGAATAGTAACTCCCCCTGAAATGGAGTGTTTGATGAACAAAGTATGATCTCCTTGGCTTTGCCGATACCCATAAAAACCATGGCTTTGGTGAACCTTTCAAACCAGGCTCTAGGAGACTGTTTTAAGCCATAGAGTGCCTTCTTTAGTCTGCAAACCTGGTTGGGAAGAAGGGAGTGACTGAATCCTGGTGGTGGATCCATATAAACTTCTTCTTCCAACTCTCCATGTAAGAAGGCATTCTTAACATCATATTGCTGCATACACCATCCAAGATTAGCAGATAAAGAAAACAGAATTCGAATGGTGTTCATCTTAGCAACTGGAGCAAATGTCTCTTGATAGTCTATCCCAAATGTTTGTGTAAATCCTTTTGCAACTAGCCTGACTTTATACCTTTCTAGGCTGCCATCAGCTTTATATTTCAGGGCATAAACCCACTTACACCCTACTGTTTTCTTCTCTTTTGGTAACTCAACTATTTCCCAAGTTTGATTCCTCTCTAGTGCATTCATCTCTTCTCTCATGGCAGTTTTCCAATTCTCATTTCTTAGAGCCTCATATAAGGTTTTTGGAATAGGTATGGTGTTTATTTTTTAGAGAAAGGATTTGTGTGATGGTGAGAACTTTTGAAATGACATAAAATTAGTTATAGGATATAAGGGATTCTTAGTGCATTCTCTTCTTCCTTTTCTAATAGCAATTGGCTGATTAAGGTCAGGAATAGGTAGAGATGGATGAGAAAGTTCGTTACCTTGCTCTGGTTCGGAGTCTTGGGCTAGTAAGAGAGTCAAATTAGGCTGTATCCTTCTTCTATATACCTGAAGAGGTCTGTCAGCAATAGTTTCTCCCTGCAGAGTAATATTTGGAGACTCACAGGATGGTGAAATGGGAGATGATTGCTGCCTAGATGGGATTTAGAATGAAAAAATGTCAAAGTCATTGTTAGTCTTATCTTCTGTGTTGTTTTCCTCCCCCTAAAGAGAAGATTTGTGGAAGAAAGACTGATTTTCATTGAAACTTATATCCTTTGACACAAGAAATCTCTTTGAAGATGGATGATAGCATTTGTAACCTTTTTGTGTGATAAAATATCCTATGAAAACACACTTTAGAGCTCTGGCATCAAGTTTGTCTCGTTGATTTTTATGAATGTGAACATAGGTGACACACCCAAAGATCCTTGAGGGAATTTTAGAATAAAAGTTATTCATTGGAAAGAATTCTGACAAATAGTTTAAAGGACTTTTAAAACCAATAACTCTTGAAGGTATTCGATTTATCAAATATGTAGAGGTTAAAAATGCTTCTCCCCAATAATTTTTTGGAACTTGACGCTGGAAAAGTAGAGCTCGAGCAGTCTCAAGGAGATGTCTATTTTTTCTTTCTGCCAACCCATTTTGTTGGGGAGTATTAACACAAGATGATTGATGAATAATCCCTTCTTTTTCAAATTATGATGATAAAATCTGATGAAAGTAGTCCTTAGCATTATCAGTTCTAAAACCCTTAATGCTAACGCCAAATTGATTCCTTATCATGTTTGTAAAGTTTGGAAGGATATGACTCACATCAGATTTTCTTTTAAGAAGGTAAACCCAAGTCATTCGAGTGCAATCATCAATAAATGTTACAAAACCTTTTGCTCCTGAAATATTAGGAATGTTATATGGACCCCATATATCCGAGTGAATTATAGTAAATGGAGACACGGATCTTGAATCACTTAGAGGAAAAGGCACTCTATGGTGCTTTGCAAATTCACAGATTTCACAATGAAATTATTCAACATCAAGATTTTTAAATAAAGATGGAAACATGTTCCTAAGAGTCTTAAATGATAGATGTCCTAAACGACGATGATGATTCCAAACATCAGTTTTATTAGAATTAATTAAAATGAATGATAGAGAAGGGGAGTTACTACTGTTGTCTTGCACTCCAAGCATGTACAACCCATCCTTGACTCTAGCTTGCCCAATCGTCCTCCTCGTAGCTAGGTCCTGAAATATGCAGTGATCAAGGAAGAAAGTTACACTACAATTTATGTCTTTAATTAGTTTTCGGATAGACAACAGATTTGCAGTAAGATTAGGAACATGCAATACTCTTTTAAGAGTAAATACAGGATTAAGAGGGATTGTTCCCTTGCCTGCAACTATGGTTAGAGATCCATCAGCTACTGTGATTTTCTTACTGCTAGGACAGGGTTGATATGATGTGAAGGCACCTGTAGAATAAGTCATATGGTCTGTTGCACCTGAGTCAATGACCCAGATGCTGGAATGGTTCTTGTTTGAGGCACTAAAGACATGAGAAATTGGAATTTTACTATTTTGAGCAAGAGAGCATGATCCAGATGGTTTCTCCATTGTGTTGAGTAAGGTTCTTAGGCGTTTAATCTCCTCTTTGTTGAATCCTCTCACCTCTAGGGTGCTGAAATCATGTGCTGCCTCTTCTGAATTTGTTAAGTGTGCATGTCCTCTTGAATGGTTCCATTTGTATCCTCCATTACGTCCCATCCTTGGTAGTTTTCCATGGAATTTCCAGCAGGTCTCCTTTGTATGACCTGTTTTCTTGCAATAGTTACAAAATTGATTATCCTTAAAGAATTTTCTCCCTTCAGTCTTCACCACTTCTGCACCATTCATGACATCATTTTGGTTTCTGCTAACATCACTTAGGTTTTTTCTATTAGTTATCATCATAGCAGAACCTTCAGTATTTAGGACCTCAAGCATCACAGTTCTCCTTCCTTCTTCAGCTCTTATTACTGAAAATACCTCATTGAGTGAGGGCAGGGATTCCTTTCCAAGTATTTGGACTCGCATTTGATCAAATTCTATGTTGAGTCCTGCAAGAAATTCAAAGATCCTTTCTCTTTCTACATAATTCTTTAAAATCACAGCATCATCACTACACTGCATCTTAAAATCCTGATAATAGTCCAATTCCAACCAGAAACTTTTCATAGTATTGTAATATTCAATAACCATCATATTACCTTGTTTGGTCATTGAAAGCTTCATCTTAATCTCATAGATTAACGCAGCATCCTTCACTTTAGAGTAGGTTTGTCTCACTGCATCCCATATGTCTTTTGCTGTAACTAGAAACATATAAGGCCCACAAATTTCTAGCATAATAGAGTTCCATAGCCATGACATAATCATGGAGTCTTCTTCATCTTCTGGACTAGGAGGATTGTCCATCAAATGATTAATCTTTCCCTTTCCTTTTAGAAAAGTTTTTACTATTTATGACCACTTTAGATAGTTTCTTCCATTCAGTCTATAGGATGACTGT